GATAGTAAAGCATAAAATAAAACCGTTATTGCATGCTCCGTATGCACTAACTTCTGTATTTTATGTTCTCTTCTGATCGTTCGGTAACCCGGCCGTACCGGCTGGGTTACGAACCAATCATCATCGTCCATAAAATACAGCAGTTATTGCATACGAAGTATGCAAGAACTATATAATCTTTTTTATTATTTAATAACAATCTAATACGTAGTAATCTAATAAAATGATATTTTAATAATAGAATAGCAATCTGTTTAAAATAATTAAAATATTTTAGCAAAGATATCGAATAAAATATAGATGTTATTGATTGAAAATTATAATCAATAGGGAATTGAAATCTCGGAAAATTTTCCGCTATAATCATCACGAAATCACAGGTCACCTTTTTGCAAACCGCTATAATTGAAAATTTTTTTTTAAAAAAAGAAAATTATTGGCATAAAAATCACAATTTAACACAATTAACAAGCATTTCTGAACAACCTAACCGTGACATTATAACGCTTTTAAAAAAGATCTGATGGTCGAGGAAAATTTCTGAGATTTAAATTGTCAATTAATTCATAATTTCGATCATCTTCTATTTGCAATTTTTTTTAAAAAAGTTATTAACACTATTAATAATATATCGATATTACAATTCCGGTCATCTGTAATCTTGTAAAATATAAAAATATAAAATAAATATATTTAGATAAATTTAAATAAAGGCCATTGAAATGTGTGCTATGGCATGTTGCACTGAAAGCGAACAATAAAAATAAATATCCGTAGAATTTCTATGCCGTATTTCGAAAGAAACCAATAATCAACCTAATTTTAATAAACATTAATTATAAATTAATCCAATTTTAAATGTCGGAATTGGTCTTAGAATTTCTCTCCAGATTACACATGCTTCCGGTCGTCAAAGGAAAAAATCAAATTATTTCTAAAATAGATTGTTAAAACATGAATTTTAAAAATGGGTTTTTTATTGATTACACAATCTATAATAACATAAAAGATTACGTGTATATTTCAATCTTAAAAAATAAATCAACCTTTAACGTAATTTTGATATCTCAAGAATATCTATATAATTTTGAAATAATTATTAAAATAGAAGATGGGTAAAAAAAATTTCGAAAAACTTTATAAACGTATTAAATTAGAATTGGGAGATATCACTTGCAAAATTTCACACTATAGTGATAATTTTGATGAAAATAAAAGTTATGCTGGTATGATTGTATATGCGGTTGATGGAAAGTTTACATGGAAAAATATAGGAGGCAAAGCATCAGGATATAAAGGAAAAAGCTTTTATATCGTTATACAAAGTACTAATAACTGGCCATCAGAAGTCCTTCGTGATGTTGGAAATGGACGAGTTCATCATTATCTTATTAAAAACACGTTGGGATATGATTATGATCAAGATATTATTTGTTGTGGAGGATTTTCATATCATGAAAAACGATTAAAGTTTAGTAGTGTTTGGTTAAATGTAGGGATGTTAAAAAGTCCGTCTGGTCCGGTCCCGGTCCAGTCCCTAAAAAGTCTGGTCCTGAACTAGTTAGGAACTAGTTCACAACCCTGTGTGAAACCGGTCCAGCCTTGGCAGTTTAATAGGTTTATACAATACATATACATACAATACATATCATAATATGATATGTATTGTATATATGTATATTTATTCACCCAATTAGTTTAGAGCCTATTTAAATTCAGAAATTTAAAAGTATTATTTTTGATTCATTCCATATTAATTTTCACTTGAAATGTCAAAAACGTCACTCGATCCATATCATGTGATTATCTGGACTAGTTTCGGACTGATTGTAGACGGTCCCTAAAAGTCTTAAAAAGTCCAGTCCAGAACCGGTCCAAAACCGGTCCCCTGCGGACCACTTAACATCCCTAGTTAAATGGAAGAAACCAAAAAGTGATGGATTAAAGAATTTAAGTAGTCTTGAACAAATTTTAGTAGAGTATTGTTTTGAACAATACAAGAAATATGGTAAAAATCATATATTTAAAATACCAGGTTATATCGAAAAACAAATAACAAAAAAGAATCGGGAGCGTTGCATAGTATACTAAAGCTGGCCCGATTTAGTGTTTCTGCTGGAATGATAGATTTTGTTTGTGTTTAGATATGTTTTACCTATTTTTAAATTCATAACATTGATTTGATAAAATAGATATACTCATTGATACGTAGTTTCCAAATTTCTTTATCAGAAAATTTCAATATAGTATTAGATCTTGTGACTCGGGTTGACGATCAGTATTTTGTTTATCATATATACTGTGTCAAGGTATATAAAACGATGTACTGTACGTTTACAACTTTATGCTTATTAACGTAAAATCATGGCTGAATCGAAATTTTTTACATATGTAAATACACCTATTGATAACGATACAATTAAATATCACTTTTTAAATGCAAATGGTAATAAAGTTAGCTATGCTGAATTTATAAACCTTTTACATTTAGGTGATGAAAATTTTTTAGATACTTTCAAAATAGCTTTAAATGATGCAACGAATGAATTATCCGCATATTTTTGGGAATGTCCTCCTGTATCTAAAGAATCAACAAATAAACCATTTGAATTTGTAGTAACTAAATCTAAACAATTAAGTTATATTAAACAAGATTACTCAAGCTTTAAAGAAAAAATTATTGAAGATTTAAATAAAGATGTTTTTAGTTTTTCTAACTTAGGAAAAGATGCTACTTTAATTATTCCTAAACCTTGTCACGATCTTGATTATAAAAATCTTAGTAATTTTACTATTAATGCTCCAAAAGAACAACAGATTAAGTTTTGGCAAGAGGTAGCTAATAAACTGACTGAAAATTTGGAATTCGGTACTTCTAAGTGGTTATCCACTAATGGTTTAGGTGTTCATTATTTGCATGTAAGGATTGATGATAAACCAAAAAATTATTCTTGGCAAGAATATTTATTGTTTAAACAATCAAGATCCGAAAAAATTTTTTGGAAAATGAGCAATCTAAAACTAATCAAAGAAAAGATATTTCCATTCTACAAAAAGAATCTTTCAATTAATTCTCTTCTGCAACCTTTTAATTATAATCGACAAAAAACTGTGTTGAATGTTGAACCAAAAGCTGAACCAAATGTTGAACCGAACGTTGAGCCAAAAATTGATTTAAAAGCTAGAGCCAAACTTTGAATCAAACTTTGAATCGAACGTTGAATTAAACATTGAACCAAATGTTGAACCGAATGTTGAGCCAAAAATAAATCAAGAAGTTGAGCCAAATGTTGAATCAAATGTTGAATTAAATATTAAACCAAATATTGAGTTAAACGTCGAATCAGAAATTGAATCAGAAATTGATCCAAAAAATTATCAAAAAATTCATCTAATAGTCAGCCAACCTTCTATACAATCCAAAACAGATCGAAAAAGGAAATTAGACGAACCGACGAAAAAAAAGAAAAAAAAAACTTAATTAAAAAGCAGAAAATTCTTTTATTCAAAATCAATTCCTAAACCTAGATTAGTAGCATTTTATTTCTCATGTTTAGATTTCGTCGTTCAATAATGCTTTGAAACTTTTCTGATTCGCGCAATATTTATATAAATTTTCTCACAATATTTTCTTATTATTTTTATTTTATTTTTATTTTTTTATATATTGTACCACTTACTAATTTAGCAAAATTTCTAGTCCTATAAAATAGCATCTTTGGTTTTATGGTTAAAATGGAAGTGCAAGGTAAAAGGAGATTAATATACTTTATAAGTAACCCAATATAAGAACCTTTTGATATAAGAAAATTAATTAAAACTCTCGATAGAAATTTAAACTAAAACAGTCTGTAATAGTTCCACTTGGTATAAGCAAGAAAAAAAAAATTTATGATCCAAAAGACGATTTTCTAATATCCAATATTTGTACAGTACTAATTAGGGTTGGGTTCGGTTAGGCTATAGTCGGCTAGCCGCCCGACTATAGCCGTAGTCGATGTAGTCGGCTAGCCGCCTGGCTATAGCCGTAGTCGATGTAGTCGACTAGAACTGCTTAGCTGACCGGCTAGCAGATGTCAAATTTTTTATTTCCTGGCTAATAAATCATAATTATTGCTTAATTCAGCATGAAGTGCACAAATTATAGAATTATTGCAAGAAATACTCTCGTCACAGCAGATTCTCGCTTTTGATTGGCTAAGAGCGACGATCAAAAATCTAGCCTGAAACATTACTAATGAAATCAGCCCATTAAGTGAAAATGTTCATGATAATATAGGCTTATTTCTCTGAAAATTTCTAAAAAAGAACTTTACCATAGTATAGGCTTATTTCTCTGAAAATTTCTATTTTTGTAATAAAAAAGGTAAAACTTAATTCCGGCCAAAAATTACGTAACAACTGTATAATGCGGGTCAAGATTTTGTAGACCATGACAGTTAGCTAATTAAAATTAAAATTGAGAATCCGCCGTGGCGACAACTTAGGTATTTTTATTGTAAGATAGTAAAAGACAAGCATACTTTATCTTACAATCGAGCAATTTTTTTGTCGATGATTTGCAAGAATCACGGTTTGCAAAATGTACTCAATTTCAATATTTTTTATTTTTGGTTTAATTCTATAAACTTACAGAATTAAAATACAAAAATTTTCATCGAATTTGAATTAATGGTTCTTGAAAAATCTTCGTTTAGATCCTAAATTTTTCCGATTGGTATCTTATTTCCGCCAAATATTTGTTTGAAATCAGAGACCAATCAGAACCATTTAGGATTTACCTGTCAGTAAACTACTATTTGCATCCGGTATAGTTTCGTTCGACCTGTGTCAATTTGGGAAAGTTCTTATCAAGAGGCGAGGTGAGATCGCATCTGAAAAACAAGTTGATCTAGAATCTAATACAGTCAGTAGAATTCTAAATACAGAAGTTAAAGCTCAGCTTCCTGTAGGTACTTCTGATGCACCTTTACCAAGAAGCTCTATACACTTTTTAATGCAATAGGTATGGATAAAATAAATCGAATTCATTCCTTCTCTGCTGATTCTATCTCAAAAATGACGT